CATTGCAGTATCTAATTTTTTAGGGTTTAGGATTTATGCCTTCATTAGCTTATTTTTTAAAAAAGGAAATATTGTTAAAATATTTGTTAGAATAATTTCCATTTATAAATATCATTAAAAATTATCATATAATATATAACTAAAATAATATATATATATATATATATATATTCTATATCTAAATGCTTATTCTTTAAATAATAATAATAATAATTATTATTATTATACTAATATTATATATATTGCATATGTAATTAGGTAAATAATTTTTTTGTGGATTGTGGATTTCCTAATTGACGCTAATTTTTAGCTCCATTTCGAGATGTAAGATATCATCTACAAGATTTTGCAGGTCAGGGTAATGACCCTGAAAATGAGAAATAATTGTTCAATCTTCGTCATGCATCTTTAAAGAATGTGATCAAGAAAATATTTTGTATTTTTAAATCAAGGTTCACAATTTTTAAGTCAGTACCTCCATTTTTATTTAAGACACAAGTTGAACTTGTGTTAGTATGTGCAGTAGCACTACATAACTTTCTACATAAAGAATGTCGTTCCGATGAATTTTTAATTGAAGCGGTGGATGAACCTTCATCTTCAACGTTATCAATTAATGAAGATCATGCTTTTGAACCTATTATTCAAACCTAGGAATAAGAGCGAAAAAATGCTAATGCTTGGAGGACTATTATAGCTATGAATATGTGGGTGAATGCTATTCAAGAGGATAAGATATTATGGAGAATTATTATTATTATTATTATTTGTCTAGACATTATTATTTTTTATTATTTTTTGTCTTTGACTCTTTTTAAATTTGAATGTAGAATTTTTTTTTGAAATTTTATCAAATGTCAAAAATCCACAAAAATTCTACAAAATCCACAAAATCCCATAGAATCCATTAAAATCCTGATTTAAAAGTCTTGAAAAATCCATTAAAATCATGATTTTAAGTCTTGTAATCCTGCAAAATCTTAAAAGTCATGAAAATCTTGCAAAATCTTTTAAAATCTGTAGGATTTTTTTAGTTAAAAAAGTTCTTTAAAATCCTAATCCAATACATTAAGAGGATAAGATATTATGGAGAATTATTATTATTATTATTATTATTATTTGTCTAGATATTATTATTTTTTATTATTTTTTTCTTTGATTCTTTTTGAATTTGAATGTATGAAATTTTTTTGAAATTTTATCAAATGTCAAAAATCCACGAAAAGTTAAAAGAGTTCTTTAAAATCCTAATCCAATACATTAAGAGGATGAGATATTATGGAGAATTATTATTATTATTATTATTTGTCTAGACATTATTATTTTTTATTATTTTTGTCTTTGATTCTTTTTGAATTTGAATGTATGAAATTTTTTTAAAATTTTATCAAATGTCAAAAATCCACGAAAATTCTACAAAATCCCACAGAATCCATTAAAATTCTGATTTAAAAGTCTTGCAAAATCCATTAAAATCCTGATTTTAAGTCTTGTAATCCTGCAAAATCTTAAAAGTCATGAAAATCCTACAAAATCTTTTAAAATCTACAGGATTTGTTTTAGTTAAAAAAGTTCTTTAAAATCCTAATCCAATACACTCCCCTTATGTTGTGCCTTTAATTTATAACATTTGTATTTGTATTAGATAGTTCTGGAAAAAACACAAGGAATCTTATTAAAAATTTTGGAGACCAGCCAACTCTTCAACGATGAGCAGGAAATTTGATGAGAAGCTTGCCCAACTAAAAAAGGCTGAACAAAGATTTGTCAAGAGTAGAATTTCAACTCCCAAGATCCAAAGGGTACCTCTTTTGTTGCGACGTAATGACAAGTTTGTGAAGTATTGTACACCAAAGATGATATCATTTGGTCCCATCCATCATGGTAGTGAAATTCTAAAGGAAGGAGAGCATTATAAACTTCTATGCACATCAAAGTTTGTTGCAAAATACAATGAAAATCAAGATTCGGATGAAGTGACACAAGTTTTGCTTAAAAGAATAGAAGATAACATGGAAGAATTGAAGAAAGAGTTTGCTGATGACATGATATTGGAAGGGAAGTATGATGACAATGACCTTGCTTGGATGTTGTTTGTGGATGGATGTTCTTTGCTTCATTTCATGGAAAATCTTGATATACAGTGTCCAGAAGCACTAAACCTTATGCTTCATCATCTATTGCAAATTTGCACAGATGTAATTTTGTTGGAAAACCAACTTCCAAGGAGTTTACTTGAGATGCTAAGCAGAAATGAAAGTCCCACGTTGGAATTTTTATTTTTCAATGTTTTTAACTGGGGTGAACGGAAACTTCGTGGCTCAAGAAATGTCATTGTCCAAAATCCTAAACCAATTCATTTACTCGATTATAATCGCTCAATATACCTAAACCAGCAAGATGATGGTGATAAAGACAACAATTTTCAAATAGACCCAAATGTTGGCAAGTGGTATACTTATAAGAACATACGAGATCTAAAAAGAGCAGGGATTCGGATGATACCAAATTTGTCAGCAAAAAATCCATTTGCTTGAAATGGCATTCATTTCAAATCTAAGTGGTTTAATGGGGAATTGAGACTTCCAATATTTCATTTCCATGATAAAGAGGCCTATTTTTTTCGAAACCTCATAGCGTATGAGATATGTCCAGATACTCGTAGCAAATATGAATTTTGCTCGTTCATTTTATTCATGGATTCATTGATTGACAATGCTGAAGATGTGAAGGAGCTGAGATTAAGTGGTATATTTTCAAACTTGCTCGGAAGCGACCAAGACTTGGCCAATCTCTTCAATGAATTGGGTGCTGATCTGCCAACTAATAAATTTTCTGACTGGCGCCTCAGTAATGCTGTGGCCTTGAGGGAGAAACATATCGCTGTTAAGCAGCAAATTGAGAAGCATTACACAACTAAGTGGAAGACATGGTTGACTGAAGCTTACAATACTCATTTCAGTACCCCCTGGACTATAATTGCCTTTTTTGCTGCATTACTAATTGTAATTCTTACTTTTATCCAAACCTTTTTCACCATAGATCCCAGATGATTCATGAAGCATCTCGTGGATTAGTTTGGAGTGAGCTGTAATTTTTCAGAAACATAATGCGTTTACATGTCTTTTATGATGAATTGTTGATTGATCCATATAATTTTGTTCTCGTCGTCTGTAGATACTATATGCATTGGAAAAAGTGGACTCTGTAAATTTCAGACGATAGGTTTAAGACAATAAACAACAATTATGTAAATTTGGTCAACTAAAAAATGGTTACAGATATACTATATTTTTATTACGTTATACATATAATATATTAAACCTTAAATTAAAAAATAACATGTTTTATTATATTAAAGAAATAATAATAATAATAATAATAACAAATCTAAAATAGATATATTAAATTTTTATTTAATTTATTTTTTGCTGTCATATTTATCAGTTCTCACCTTCCAGAATAGAAAAGGAATAATATTTAAACCTCTAAGTCATATGATATGATAGAAATAGAGGCTGCTACACTTAATATGCATAAATAGTTTATTGAGTGATGTTTTTGCTTGTTTGTCTAAATAATTTGTTACAAGTTAACAAATATCTAGAGAACTACCAGAGGGCCCTTAGTGGATTTGAGGTTGCTGCTTTAAAGGATCCAGGTCTCTGTTAGGTCTCTTATAAGTAAATATTATAAGAGGACAGACTTAGGTTTTATAATAGGACTGAATTATTTTAGCAGTTATTAATTATTTTAGCAGATATTGTTATAATTGTTTTAGCAGTTATTATTGTTTTTTAATTAGGACTAGATGCTATTAGTAGGGGGCAAGCGTAACTGCCTCTAGGCAGTTATTAGCAGAATAAACAGTGTTTTAAAACCAGGACCGACCCGGCCGGTCGGACCGGTTGGACCGGGAACCGGTGGTCCAGCCGGGCCGAATCTGAAGTTGGATCGGTTATGCAGTCGACCCGTTTCAAACCGGATTAAACCGGTCAATTTTCCGGTTCAACCGGCGAACCGGTGGGTCAAACCGGTTCAACCACTTTTTTTTTTTATTTATAATTTTTTTAAGGGACCATGAATCACAAAAATAATAATGAAAATTGAATCTCTTAATGAAATAGCAAGGAGCCTTATTAAATATAACAATGACTACTTGTTCTAATATATTTGTTTGCAATATATACAACTTAAATAACTTTTATAGTATATTATTAATTTTAAATTATATATTTAATAATGCAATATCTATGTAAATATTACATATATTATTTTGTGATATTAATTGCAAGCATATTATATATGTACATATTATTTATATTTTTAATTTGTATTAATATACCGTTTAACATGTAATTTTTTTATGTATTTTTTTACAAAATAAAAATAAAAATAATTTTAAATAAGATAGAAAAATTTAAATTTAAAATAAGATATGAATTTATTAAAATTTATAAGTATAAATATATTTAATATGAATATTTTTTAATAAAAATAAATAAAAATCGAGTCATGCGGTTCAACCAGTGACCCACCGGTTCAACCTTTGACCCACTGACCCAATATCTTAACCGGTTCGATGACCGGTCCGGTTTTTAAAACTATGAGAATAAAAATAGTAGAAGAAGGAGGACAGAGGTCAGGCAGTTTTTGAGTGGTTTTGGAAGGGAGAGACCAAGCTCTCCAACATCTTGTGAGGGAACCTTTGTACTCAATTTAGTTTACTAAATTTCCTATATAATTTGTATTCTGTACCAGTTAAATTAAATAAAATTCAGTCCTTATTCTCATGCCAGTTGGTGTCTATCAGTCTCAATGCTGCAGAGGAGGTTCAGAAGATAGTCAATTTACTTGACAAGGTGGACAATCTTTTGAATATAATGAAATGAAAATTTCCTTTGGCTATGTAGTAGTAGTTTAAGCTAGTAATTTGCTGAAGGTCATTCATAGGTTTTTTCTATGGCTTGATATTCTTGCATGGAGGATTCTTTTCAGGATAGAAGCTGGTAACTTCAAGAAACATTAAAGTCTATTCTACCCTCTCCCCCAAGTACCAGCAAATTTTTTTAAAGGGTTGTAATCAACATTTTAGAGGATGCTGGTTTATGTACAGTTTATTATGTACAGGGACATGTAAGAGCTAGGCGAATGGCGTCTTTGGCATCATCATTGGTTTCTGTTGATTGTAAGCACTGTCCCGAGCTATAGGCTTCAATTCATGCCCTATTTTGAATTCTACCGAGTTAGATCTTTATTTTTTTCTTATATACTGACATGATTCATGCCTACCTTTTGGTGCAAGTGAAATCGTCATACAGAAGAGTTACCATAGACCATCTGCCAGAGGGTCCGAATAGAACTCTTGCAGTAGAGGGGAAAGTGTTTTTCTTTGTTAGGAGTGAGAGTGTTGCTCCACTGTAAGTCCTCTACTACTGAAAACATTTAGCTATATATAATATTTTCCATAAACAGATTCATTTGCATTGGTAATCCTCATTTTAGAGTTATGAAATTTGATTAGAAGTGTGGAAAGAGTTTATTATGAACTAAAGAAATATTTTATTGAATGAGCAGAAAATAGGAGAAAGAAAAGAGCAAATGATTTGCTTTTTAAACCGTAAATGTCAAATATCACTTGTTTATGGATCAAATGTCTTTTTTTTTTTTTTATTCTTGTTTGCCGTTTACTTTCTGTGTGCATTTAGTTGCGAGGAGGGAGAGTAGGGGTGGTTTGGAAAGGGAGTTTTTCAATTTTCAGTGGTGGGCAAAAGGGTGCCAGGAATATTGTTTCATGAAACGACAATGAAAAATAAATTTCTATAAAAATGATACATATTAATCAAAATAAATTAAAATGAAAACTTGAATTTATAATGTGTGTTTCATCTAATGCAACAAAATAGAGAAACTATAGTTTTTAAATTACTTTTTTCCTCTTTTGAATAGTTCTGTTCCTTTAACTTCACCAAAGAATGTTTATAATAAAATGTTAAAATTTTAACTGACAGTGGCATTTCAGTCCCTATTAGATATTTTAGAGTAAAAAAAGCATCTAAATAGACACTGGACATGAAAAGAGAGGTAAGTAGAGAAGCACCTATTGAACAACGAAACAGAGTTAACCATGGAGGTTAACCATGGAAGTGTCATGGTGGCAGGTATTATTTTGAAAAACATTTGTAAGTATAAGGATTGATTTTAAAAGAGAAAATAGTGTAGGGTCTTAATCGAAAATTAATTGAAATTATGGGACCAAAATTTTAGTTTGACTAAAATAAATCTTTTCCTTTTTCTTCTTGAAGTTATTTGTTTAAATTTATTTTCCCTAATAATATTGGATTAGTAATATTTATTTGGTCTCCTGATTTAAAAAGAATATAAAATTTCACCGTTGAAGATGTCATGTATACATTGTAGTCTGGAGTGTGCTGTATTTTTCAGAAAAGAATGGTTTTCCATGCCATTCATGTTAATGTCTTGAGAATTGTTGATCGGAGCTAGATAATCTTGTCCTTGTCGTTATGCAGATACTATTTGGTTTGTGATTCAAATCAATCTTGCTTTGTTCTCTCAGTTTATGGTGTACGTACTGATGTGGTAAGAACTGCTAAAATTTTATGTCATCTTCTATTGTATTTTCCCATGTGGAAATACATTTCTCTATCTTGCATAAATATCAAGGGTGGCGAACTAGTTGCACGTTTCCTTCTTTCTCAACTCATTAAGTAAATGTTTGGATTGGATTTTGAAACTTGATTTTACACTCTCTCTCCACGTTGAAGATGAATTTTACGTAGAAACAAAATTTTTTTGTTTCAACTAAACGTGAAAATTCACGTTTGCGTTGAAACCCAAACATGCACTACATGTCATCTTTACATAAAAATTGGCCTATGCTTAAGCATATGGACTTTTGTGCCATTAAGGGATAAAAGAAATGACTAAATATGATCATATTTAAATTATATTCATGTGATTAACTTATATTCATGTGAGATATCTTTCACGCCGTCAAAACTAATAATTAAAGATTAACTTATATTCATGTGAGATATCTTTCATCATATTTAAATTTGAATCATGTTGCCGTATTTCTTACATACAAAAAAAAGAGTAAACAACTAGAAATTTTAAGGACAACCCAGTTCTGAATTAGAAAAGAATGATGCTATACATTCCAAAAAACGACCGAATCATCCTCCAAATAAATAATAAAGTGACATTTGTTAAAAAAATTAATTTATAATATTCATCATCAGTGTGTTAATTAATTTTTCGGACGATTATGTTCGAAGGATCTATCATTTTTCATTAGAAAAATATTGACAAAGTGGTATGTACTCAACAACACGCAATAACTCGACCCCATTGAACAAGCTATAATATAAAAAAAATGAAAATTGAGTGGTGAATGGTGATGCGCCTCGATTGTCGTCTCAACGAAAATTTGGTCCCATTAAGGAAGTAATAATGTATATTGTGATTAGCAATGTGCCTCAACCCGCATCTCAAGGAAAACTTGACCCTTTAAACAAGCTATAATAGAGATTGTGATCAGTGGTGTACCTTGACTCGGGTATCAACAGAAACTCGACCCTATCAAACAACAATAATCGAATTTGTTACCAGTGGTGTCTCAATGGAAACTTGAGCTCCCCTAGAAGTGCATCTAAAGAGGTGATCTTGACCAACAAAGACATACATGTAACCTCACTCCCGTAGAAAGATGAAAGCCAAGAAGCAACAAGAAGTTCCACAAAATTAACAAAGAAAATTAGAAAAACAAAGCCCAAGCCCAACTGAACATGCATTAGTCCAAACAATTAGAACTGAGTTTCATTACATAACACAAAATGAGACAATGATGAACAAAAATATCTGGTTACAGCCTCGTCTTTCGTTACTGTACAAGTCTGTTCTATGAGAGCAGAGTCACGAGCAAAGTTCAGGTTGAAACTTAGTTTAGGTACAATACATGCATGATACAAAATGAGATTTCTATAAACATACTAGAATTATAACTTCGACTCTTTTAACAGGACTAGCAATAGCATAATGATGTTGCTTATTCGCAAACCCGTTAGTTCCATAAGCATCAATAACGTCTTTTTTCTATAAGTCTAGTAAAAGAGTCACGAGCAAAGTTCAGGTTGAAACTTAGTTTAGGTACAATACATGCATGATACAAAATGAGATTTCTATAAACATACTAGAATTATAACTTCGACTCTTTTAACAGGACTAGCAATAGCATAATGATGTTGCTTATTCGCAAACCCGTTAGTTCCATAAGCATCAATAACGTCTTTTTTCTATAAGTCTAGTAAAAAATTGTCACATACTAAGACGGTTGGTTCCAGTGTTTGATTTAATTTCACATGGAAATAGTACAGTCTAATTCTTTGGCAGCAGTATCAAGAAAGTTAATAGACAATCCGTTTGAAAGTCGGCTGTGAGCTTCCCAAGTCAAGCACTTTTCTATGTCAGCTTGCCAGTCAATGACATCCAAATTGAAGTATTGATAAGAGGGGTTGTGGGTGCCATTTATTTTCCGAGGTTTAGGACTACATCTGATCGAACCGGTATGCAAAATATCACGAAGAACCGATATACTCAGAGCTCGGACATGTGCGCTTGGATGAGAAAGACACCTAATTGTAGCAGAGAGGCGACACTGCATGTGGTATTTCACAACTTAAGTCAATAATTATATAGAAATAAAAAGAAGAACAATGATGTGACATGCTATAGTTTTGCACCTGATTGCCCTTTCACAAATACGGGCTAAAATACCCTTTTGTTCTCTCATTGTATTTTGCTATTTTTTAGTATTGGTCTCTTATATTAAAAAAAATCATTTTGATCACTTAGAATATCTCTATTAAATCAAGTTGGTTCTTCCATCAATTTACCACTTAGTCAACTTGGTGATCTGTGACAAATCATAAGAGACAACACATTAGACGGGCATTATTCATGTCAGCCAAAGCTAACACCGTGTGATAAATTGAGGAATGACTAATTTGATCTAACAAATACATTTTATGAGATCAAAATGAAACCTTTTAAACTCATGAGACCAAATTGAAACTAAAAGAATAAGATTGAAGTCCAAAAGAGTATTTTAGCCCACAAATATTCACTAGTTGAAATCTAGAATTAGATTTACAATGTTTAACCTGCATATTTCATTCACCATAGCCCAGCTAAATTATAAGTTCCAATAGGGGAAGTTTGTTCACCTTTAAAAGGTTTGAAAGGCCATCTGCCACAGCCAATCCTGATTCTCCAAACTCGAGCACTGGCTGAACTGCTCTAGCTGTTGCTTCCAATAACTGGCCATTATAATTATATATTGAAACATGAATATCAGTAACGCTCAAGTATAGAACAGAAAATTCACAGTGCCACTAATAGCTGCTCAAACTATCAAGTTTGTTAGTGTCAGAAATTCAAAAATCATGATGTATTAGAAAGTTGGCTCAAAGATAAATAATCTCAGTAACATTTTGATGTAGCTTTCTTTGTGTGTGCTTAATCATGTCTTCTCTGAGTCCACGGATCATGTCTCACATATTTGGATAGCCAAAAATGAGCTCATAGATGAGGTATATTATTATAGGCTAAATTATATTTTTAGTCCTTTATCTTATTTTTAAGAAAAATGTTCATTTTAATCATTTATCTCCTAAATTTAGATCGATTTGACCATTTTCAAATAATGATTATTTTCAATTTTGAGACACAATTTTGAATCTTTTTTTGACTAATTCAAGATTTGAAACTTGCCTCATTAGATTTATTTATATGAAAATAATTGAATGCAATTAAAACTCAAACAAAAAAGTTTCATTGGTGAAAATTGCATGATATAAGTCCAAAAATATCTAATTTTACATTATTTTCTAATTGCTCATGGAATATATTTTTCACAAGATTTTCACCATGATTATACCTATTTTGAATTTGAACGCCAATTAAATTTCATAATTTTAATATAGGTGAATATAATGTTATTAGTTTCAAGTCTTGAATCAATCAAAAATTGATTCAAAATTATGTCACAAAATTGAAAATGGTCATTTTTTTAAAGGACCAAATTGATCAAAATATAAAAGATAAAATACTAAAATGAACATTTTGATAGATAAAAGACCAAAATGAATCTAAAAAATAAGATAAAGGACCACAAGTATAATTTAAGCATCATTATATAGTGCTCATGATCATTGGGAGGTAGAATAAGTAGTATTCCACTTTTTTTAATCTGTTTGTCTAAACTCTTAATTTAAAAGAAAGATTTTCTTTTTTTTTTTAGGAAATTATTAAAAAATTGTTATTTTAAAAATCACTTTTCTCAGAAACACATTTTTAATTTTAAATAAAGTGGCCTGATAACTGCCTCCAATCCATCAATGATCCTTTTTCTGACCCACTTAAAAATTATGTAGTTAGTGTAAATACAATGAGGAATAACAGAATTAAATGTGAATAAATCCTATTATGTAAGTAAATTTTTAAATAGAAATACTAATATGTAAGTGAGAAATGAGGTTTTTTTTCTGGTTTTATATGTCAGAATCAAGTTGACTCAGTAAATGCAGAGAACTTGAAAATTTGTAGGGAAGTTAATGTTCAAGCATACTACCTCCAGCTGTGGTAAAGTGCAAGCTTCTCCATCAACCAGCATCCCATCCGTGGCTCGCAGTAGTAAATCTGATGAACTTGCCACAATTACCAATGATTCTGCACTCTCATGATTCCTCATAAGTTCTACGATCAATTTTACAATCCGCTGATTGATTCTCCACATCTTCTGACCTGAATCATCATCCTTGGCAATCCAGGGCTGTAATTCCCTTTCCGCCTGACAAGTAAACAAGCCCAGGAAAGTGACTAAACAAGTGAAAGGCAGGAAATAATAATAATAATAATAATAATAATAATAATAATAATTTATAAAGAAATATACAACAAATGAACAATGGATAGATGAGATCTTCAGCATCAACTATTAAACTTTCTAGACAGTAAAAGCCAATTCCAGATGTATTAAAAATAATAAATATTGAAAGTCCATTTAAGAAATGATATATAAATTTTTGGGGTAAAAAATAGTAATTGTCCTTGCTTAACAGAATAGGAGTCCAAGTTAGTGACCAATGGAATATGAAATCATTCATGATAAGACGAAATTTTGGACCTGAAGAACAACTGCTGTAGCTGCTTTTGTTGGTGAGGCTGATACAACATTGCATAATGCATCAACAACCTACATAACATTAAATTCAAAATAGTCAGTAACAAACCTTTTCAGTGCAAACAAGGATATAAAACAGATATTTGGATCCACACGATCACATTGTACACATACACATTTATAACTATCTTATTATGTGTCTCAATAGGGTGACTCTTTGTCAATCTTACCGAATTTCTAGCATTTAAACAAAATACAAAAATGTGAATCCTTCAATACCTCTCACCAGTTAGCACATACTATTGTTTCATTTTACATTCATAACTTGCAAGTGCACCCAATAATATATTGTCTTGGCATGATGCTTCTTCCAGTTTACTGTAGTTTTTTGACTTGATCATAATAATCTGCCTTTGATGGAACAACTATTTAGTTATTTTCAAAATATATAAGTTTCAATGCTCATTAAGGTAAGTTGCTTTCTCTGCTTTTTAAAATTTCAGAACACAATTTCTTCATATGATACAGTTTCGGAATTTTGGCTGCATCTTTCCTATGTTTCTAGTGTTTACACAGGATACACCTATTTATCCTCATCTGCAGTTTTTGCTTCTCAGAACCCTAACTTCTATGATTAACAGGAACTAAGCTGTTCCGTCAAGGAAATTTTTCTCTCAAATTGTGTTATAGGTTAAAAACATATATAATTCAACCATTGGAAGATAAAAGAATATTAACTTCACAAAAAAGAAATGATAAAGTTACTGCAGTATAACATTTTTACTTGTACCTGTCTCCAGCCTTGTTGGGCAGAAGTGCTTTCTGCACAAGGTTGAGTTTCAGGAGATGCAATCAACTTGTGCCATAGCAGTGAAACTACAGAGAAACACAACTCTTGTTTCTCTGTCAGCATGGATCTCAGAAATATTTGCGTATTGCAATTCAATCCGATGTGCCTGTCCATTGTGAGGAAGTTGGCTAGATCAGAAGCATCCAATGAGAAACCTGTGACACCTTTACCCAAGGTACAACCTGATGTTTCATTTGAGCATGGTTTTGGTTTTTTTTCAGAATTATGGTTAAGTTTTGATGGGAATGAATCTTCTGAAGGTACACTAGATGTCTGCAGAGGGTCAAAGCAGCTACTACTTTCACACTGATTTTGCCCTTTTCCATCAAAACAAACAAGGGAATCCTTCCAAATGGGTGCATGAATTAAGGTTGCTTCTAATGGCTCTGCCTTGTTCACTATAGATGCAACAGCTTTGCTGTGAATATCTATGAGATTATACAGTGATGACGCCCTGGAGTGAATTTCATTGTCCCATTTGCAACGAATCAGAACAGACAGAGCATGCATGCAAGCTTTTGACCTCCTAAATAGTTCAGAAACATGTGCTGCAACCATAGCTGCTGCAACTATCTCATTTGAGCTGTAACTCCAAGGCGTACCAACAGAAGATGGCTTTAACGAAAATAGTGCCTCTAAAATTGCTAAAATTCTATGAGTATGACGTATGGCAGAATCCAAGCCATTCCGCAACTCATGGGAAGATCCATTTAGTCTAACAGGTTTGGCTATATCTTGCACATTATTGGAGGCTAAATGATTATTCCCCCGTGAAATCAAAGGGAACAACTGAAGCTCACAGGCAAGAGCACAAACAGCAGCCAGAACATAAGAATCAAACGCTGCTACAGGACCTTGCTTCTTCATTTTCCTATTTGTTGATTCTCTCCGGTTTTCAGATGTTGCTTGTAAGTCCTCAATGGTTTCCTCAGCTGAATAGTTATCTTCGCCTCTTGGCCTCTTGCTTCCACAGAATTGAGCTTCATGACTGACACAGACAGTTAAGACAACAAAAAGCAAGCGTGAAGCAAGCTCTACAGATGCACATGATTCTAAAAAGAGGGAATGAACCATAGTACGAAGTTCTGCCACGGCAAGGTTTTTAGAGGCAGAGCCAATGCCAAATAGGTATTTTGATTTTCTGTTCTGTTCTCGAGTGGACTCAGGTGGAAATGTCCTCTGAAGAATAGCTTCCACAGTAGCAGCAAATATTTTCATAAGACATGCTTCTGATGGGCTTCCACGAGGAAGATACTCAAGGACCTTAAGTAAGGGTATGTACAAATTCCATGACAGTATGGGAGGTTGTAGTGGGGTTGCAACTATAATTTCTGGAAGATCAACAGCTGAGGAACTTGTAGGAATCAGGCCATAAGCAGCTTCCCAAATGGTGCAAATTCTCCATTCAACCTCTGGACCATGGGCACAAAGCATTGATGCAATTCCTTGGGCAGTAGCCTCAATAGAGGCTTCAGCTGCAGGAACTTCTATCTGATCAACAACAAATGTTTTAGATCTAAAGTGTGCGGAAATTATCTATCTAACTGCACAAAATAAGTGTAACAAAAAAAATAAGTATGCTAACATATAAAAATGAACACAACCTGTTTTTTATAGGAAGAAATATAACCACCCAAAGGTTCATGTTGAACTTCAACTCCATCAACTTGTCTGAGAGGAGGAAAAAGTAATGCAGGCTGTGAAAGTATACGAAAAAGCAGAGCAGCTGCAGCATCCGCAGCTATACCAGCTCTCATGGACATCGCAGTCCCTATTGCACGCAAGAAATGCAAATGCATCCAATTTCTAGGAAGCTGCATTAACATATAACAGAAAAGAAAAACACATCAGTCAATTGGTTTTAAATCTTTCACAAAGTTTCTTTAGATGAACATATCAAAATGCACAATATGTCATCCTGAAGCTATTAATCCCACTGCAATGCACATATATAATTGATATTGTATATTGTACTTGTTCTGAAGTTGCAAAATAGAATTCCCTGAAATCTTCTAGAGGGGGTATAAAAGTTATACCACTCCATAGATGTACAAAGTCTAGACTGTATAGTGAGTGCTTTATGTAAGGGCCCATGGAAGCTAAGGACCTAGTTGATACAGAAGGGAGGGACCAGAGCAGCCCAATCACAGGCCTAAGATTTGACAAGTAAATTCTATGGGATAGGATGGGAATCTGTCATAGATTCATAGTTGGTTAAGGGGAGAGAGAACCTATCAGGTGGGCAGAATATAGGGAGGAAGTGGCAAGGAAGCAACGACGGCAGAGCATTCTCTTATCTCTCTTTCCGCTGTACATTGCACAGAGGTTCTTTGCATTCTCTGAAGGAGTAGGGCTCTGGGACTAGTAGGGGAAAATTTTTGTAATCTTTCCCATCTATTTAATAATATCATCACTTCTGTACTGTTCTACTTTTAATCTCTCTCAACAATTTTGTGCACAGTCAGCTCAGAACCCATAATGTTAACATGGCAGATCAAGTCTCAGCTAGAACACGTTAGTTAGCCTGCTGAGCTGGCAGCTACTGTAATGTCTGTTAGAAGTTAGTTAATCTTGTACTTAGTGTCTAGCTTGTTGCACAAGCTAAATGGAGCTTTATAACTTCTGGCCTGTAAATTAGAGATCAATTATCTTCATTCTTGCAAAACAGACTCAATTTTCTCTCTTTGCATCAGAGTAGTATTTTCTTACTGTTTCTCTCTTCCCAAACACTTTAAACTTTCTAACATGGTATCATAAATCAGCCTTTTTGGATCCATGGCTCCTGAGTTCAGCTCACACACCACTGATTTTGCTCCCTGCTATAATTCCCATGATGCCTCTGTATGTTTCCATTAGGACTCCTCTAAGTATGGGTATAACCCCCCCCCCCCCCCCCCCCCC